CGTCTTTTATACCTTCATCGTTAACTAATAAAAAAAAAACGCAATATTCGGATGTTGAAGCACGAACTAGGCCACCCTGGCGAGATTATCCGAAACATCATATCGGATCATCGCGCTCGATCATCCGATACCGGGACCCTGATCGGTGGTGAGACGAATGAGAGGTGACGAACGGTCTCGAAAACGAAATGAAGTGTGTGTCGCGAATTGTGTTGCGAAGGGAGAGGAGCTCGCTTACACATGTGCGTGCCGTGAGAAACAACGGGGCCGAGAGACGCAGAAGAGGAAACGGTCGTGAGGCCTCGACCGATCTGTCACGCTTTACCTATCTGTCAGATTTACGCGGCATCGATCGACTCGCGTATCTTGCGATCTCGTCCACCGGGCTTAAATCGCTTCTCTCGCCGGTCTATTAAAACGTTCCACTCATTTTTATCGATCTGTCAGAAATGCCTGTCACCCTCGTATCGGATACGGATCTCTCACGTCGCGATTACGTTTGGAAACCAGTCGGCAATTAAGTCAAGCAACCAGTTTACTCGCCTTATAATTTTTTCTTTCTCTTTTTTTTTTTTTAACCAAAGGCTACTGACTTCTTACGCTTCCGACCGTTTCCTTATATCGTTTCGCCCAAGTTTCTCGTTTCTTAACTCAGAAATGATGCGTCCCACACGTGTACACAGAAACATCATCGCTTACACATCGCTTTTCTTAATGTTGAATCATTTATAAGCTAGTAACGCAGTAAATCGGTAGACTCTTACAAATATATTCTCGCGTATCACCCCATTCGCACCCTAGCGCTTTTTAAAATAACACATATTATTCTCAGCGTCTCGCGCGCTTGATATCTATGAACATTACATAATTAAATTTTTACGCGTGTGTGTTTGCCCCCAAACCCTCTCTTTTCCAGACCCCTTCCAGAATCTTCATCATAAGACGTTGTTTCACCGTGTCGCCGATGATTGACTAGAGCCGAGAGACGACGATCTTCAAACGTGATCGCGATTTAATATTAATCGAACGTCGCCAGAATTCGGCCTGTCGCTCTAAGTCCAGATTTGCGCGAAACGGATAGACGGGAGATAAATCAAGCAGCAGCCTTAAATCCTGGCTTTTCCAAAGGTGAGACAACAAATTTGCCTCGATTTCGCTCCTCGCATCGATTTCGCGCAATTATATCGTGGCGATACGATGATATAAATCTCGCGCGCGATTAATCCAAGATTCGATCGACGTCGACCATCTCTTTGTAAATAACAGAGAATTCTCGCGTCTGTGTGATAATTAAATTCCCTTCAGAGAGATACACAAAATTTTTCTCTTAGAATTTACCCTGAAAATCACAGTAATCGTGGGACAAAATGGTATTTGAAGAATTTTATAAGAGCTTCTCCGATTAAAATATTTACCGCAATAAAAAATATTAATATCTACCACGATAAGATATAAAATTAAAATATTAATATTTTTTATTGCGATAAATATTAATCAGAAAACCTCTTATAAAATTCTATCAATACCACATTGTTCCACGATTATCACGATTTTCAGGGTCAATTCTAAGATAAAATTCTCTTCTTGTAGTGATAGTAAGTCAAGTACACTTAATTTAAGATGGTGTAGGAAAAAAACAGATGCGTCTAGTCGAATCCTCGTATCGCGCGACAACAACCCAAAATATCAGCCTCATCGTATTTTATCGCTCTTTTCATTTCTCTCTCTCTCTCACTCGTTCTCTCGCTCTTTTTTTCTTGACAGAAAGCGCAGCTTAACGGCTCCGCTTGATATTCTATTAACGTTAGCTAGACTAAAAGTTAAGTCATGCGCATTGGCACGCGCTATTTGGTACGTTTCATTTTGAGACCTCTTACATAGTTCCTCTTTTTTTTTGGTTTTCCGTATAAATACTTTAATCCCTAAAGTCGCAATTGTAGCTCATCAGCCCTTCTGCTGGTGACGCCTCGATGCCATCGATTTATTCGCGGATAAACGGGTGCTGATAAAGCGTCAACTGTCGACGCTCACGCTCGTTCGACACTTGAAGATTAAATGTCATGTAATTCAAGACCATTATGTAATATATAAATAGCATCCACCGCCACACTTTCGAAAGTATCGATACTTGGTCACGTTGGTATCATTTATGTGATCTCCGACCAATGTATAGTACGAAATATACCCGATACTTTCGCGGGAAAATCTATATCCGATGTCTGAATGGGGTGTCTAGAAATGTCTAGATATTCGAAGAAACGTTCGAGTATCCTTTGAGACCGCGTGTCCTTCTTCAAGTATATCGGACGAGCGCGAGTATCAATATTTATGCCGAATATTTTCAAGCGTCTCGCTTCGAAAAACGACCCTTGGTCCACCCTTCTTGGTATTACATAAGTTTCTCATATCCACCCTTTTATCGGGCGATCTGCGTCGTCGCCTTTCCTCTTCCAAGGACATGATTATCCTCGCACTGGTCTCAAAGACAGAGTCAGATCGTCAGACGAGTTCGAAACGGAATTTCGCGAAAGGAAATGGACTGGCCGACCTTTTTTTTTTATTTTTTTTTTATCGAAAAGACGAAACGCGCCGACTCGCTGACAAGACTAGACGTAGACATACAGAAGCCGCGGTCTTACAGGATTCGAGGTCAGGGATCGCGATTTTTGGACAGATTTTTGTAGACTCTACAGATTTTCTTCCCTCACATGTTCGAAAAAGTCTTGCTCTCATACTAATTTCGTCTTCTGTCTTCTATTCGCGTTTTTCCTCACGATTTTTTCCAAGTAAGGATCCAACACGCGCGTCCATCCTCTTCACATCTTTCCTATATCTCCGTATTCCAGCTTCTTTCATTTCCGACGCGAAAGCTAATCGCCAGGACGATGCGTCACCGGCCGGTTTTTCTCTCCCTCTCGACGCGACAACTCTCGTGTAATAAAATATAGCTTATGCGAGATAGCCGAGTACAGTACGATTGTGCGCAACGAGATTTCACGCCCGTTCCGGAACGCGTTACACGCGTGCTGCACTGAAAAAATAATTCACTAACTCGACTGAGCTTTTCAACTTTTTGTTAAAATTATTTAAAAATGTTTTTTAAATAACTTTTTTTAAATTACTACTTTGTTAATTGCACATATATTAAGTCAGATATACGTTTTGTTAAGATTTAATGTTACATTTATTTTAAATATTTTTATATGTGTTCGATCAACAAAATAATATCTAGTTTAAAGGTTCAGTCGAGTTGACAATTTTGTTTTCAGTGTAATTTCGCGCGCCTAAATATGAGGTCCCATGTGCATCCTCTCGTTACACTTCTCCTCCTTTCCATCCATCCCTCTCACCTCTGGTACATTGAACTTAATCAGCGGTATTGTCGATACGTCCTATAGAAAAAACGAAAAGAAAGAAAACGAAGCACTTAGAAAATACACTCTTAGGATTCCCGCTGTTTGTTCGTCGCAGGACGTCCCAGAAATTGTACACGCTCTCGTGCATACGTGTGTCGTTTCTGTTCAACAGTGAAATCTTGAGTCACTAGATCAGAATTACGTCGACGACAACGTCGAATGTCTCGTAAGAAGTCTCGCTGTCTCCGTAAGTTTTTTTTTTTTCTTTGATATCCGCAAATGTATTCCGTGCGCGCGCAAATTAGATTCCGCAAATTATCTCGTAGAAAGTTTGACACAACTTTTCGTTTCCTCTCTAATATTTCTATCGGGATCTATCTTGCTAAGCGATGATTCAACGTTGCGAGGATCTCTCAGGTCGACATCTCGTATAATATTCTAGCATATTCGTGTACATGTGCGATGATAAAAAGTATATTGTAACACTCACGGTGACGATCATTGATGAAGGAATAAATTTGTCCGCTGCGAAATAATTATGCGTGTGTATGTGCGTATAAATCGATATCTGTGGCTATAATCAGTTCCTGTGTCTAGGAATATCCAGTGTGCGTGATCGTTAATATTAACTGTACGGCATCATGCGATATGGAAATGACGTAAAGTAAAAAAAAAAGAAGAAGGTAGATCTAACGTTATGTTAAGAGAAGTCATCAACCAAGCTTGGAAACTTCGCTTATCGTTACACTCTTGCGTTATAAAATGCGTCGCTTTTCAGCTGCCCTTTCTCTACTTATCAAAATGCAAATCTGAAAAAGACTCTCGGGAGATCACGTCCAATCGCGAATGTGCGGATGTGCCGTTCGATGAAAAAAGAGACGTAAGAGAATATATAAATGTATATGTGTGTATATATAATATATATACATATATATATATATATATATATATATATATATAAAATGTATATATATAAACGAAACTTCTCGAGTGCGCTTAGTAATCTGTGTGCGAAAGTTGTGGGAAAAAATTTCGACTCGTGTGCGTGGCGCGCACGCATGATTCTCTCTCTCTCTCTCTCTTTCTCTCTTTGCGTAGAGCGTCATGGTCATGGAATGCTCGAGCGTTTCTCGCGAAACGAGAACGAAGCCGAAAATCGCGGTACAAAAATGTTCGAGCCTCGACAATCTCGATACGTTAACGAGAGAACATTTGACGATCTCTATTTTCGTGCAGAATCCCTCGTTATTTCTGCGATACCGTTCTCGCCAGAGAAAAAAAGGATAATTAAAATTCCCTGGATTTTTTCTTGCGTAGACCTCGATCGCTTCGGTCTCGTTTCCTGTGAAAACGACGTTCACCCCCGTCCAAGAATCGGAGTCGACGATGGCTTCATTCTTAGAACACGCGTTCCTTCCGTAATCGATCGTTCTTCCACGCTGCCGAGGTGCGTGCCGTTTCTCCGACCGACATCACGAACGATTGAACGACGTCGGCTTTTCGGATTCGTTAGTGTAAGACAAGACAAACTTAAACGCGTTCCGCTACGTTCTGCTCAGCGTTGATAACGAAAAGGATCATTTCTCTCTCTCTTTTTCTCTTTCGAGCCGGAATGGAATCGAAAGCTTCGAACCTGCTGAAGTATGTCGTCCGGCCAGCCGTGTCGTGGTAACGTTTTTTTTTTTCCTCCTCCGTTTGCGCTTAACGTAGAATACAGAATTAGCCTAATAGAGACCGCAGCCGCGCAGATTATTAGCGATAATGACGTCTGTGACTGCGTCGAACACAAATTGAATGTTGTTCGTGTCGGTGGCACAGGTCATATGGCAGTAGATCTCCTTCGTGGTCGACTTGTTCTTCGCTTCGAACTGCGCCTGGATGTATGCAGCTGCTTCGCCGTACTCCTGCGCACCTGCGATAAGGATTCGAGACATATGAGATTAAGCTATTTTAGAATAAAAGATAATATTTTCATTATTGAATTCGAAGAAATATTCATTATACTGCAATACTGTCTAATAAATCACTTATTTTTAAACCAGATAAATATTTATTTGTTTCAAATAAATGATTTATTAGGCAGTATTGAGCAATAAATGTTTATTAATTTAATAATTTTTTTTAGTGTATGTTAAAAAATCACACTTACCAGCGTATTCGGGAAAACAGATTGTAAGAGGAGACTTGCGGATTTTCTCTTCGAAAAGATCCTTCTTGTTCAGGAAGAGAATAATCGAGGTGTCGGTGAACCATTTGTTGTTGCAGATCGAGTCGAACAACTTTAAGCTCTCTTGCATTCGATTCTGCAAAATGTCAGAAAGATATATCGTGTAATTTTATAAACTTTTCCAACTCTTTCCCCTCTTTTTTTTTTTTTGCAAAATACAATAATCGATTAAGGGATTAATCACGATCCATTTACGTAATCGCGGGATTATAAATAGTGCACGTATAACTCGAGCCTACGATTTATAAGGTCCACTTTAAGTATGAGACTGCACTTAAAGCGAGCCTCTCTCTTATTAATGGCGAACGTGATTCACTCGCCTCGCGTAGACACGTGATGGACCGGCGATACAGGTCACGAGACGCAGGCAATCAACATTGGCGAGATGACAACGCGCGCGTGTCACTATGCACGCGAACGGAGAGTTCAATGGAACCTTCCCACGTGCAGCGACCCCGGCAATTGATCCCTTGATTCTTCGGAGCTTCAGTTTACGCGTATTCTCTCCCCGTCACGTTCCTAATTTTGGGCTTGATATTCTTCTGACGAGTCGTACGTTCAACCCACTATCAACCGTGCCTAATTTTATCTCGTTCGATATAATCGCATGAATGCGCGCATTTGCAATTGAACGCGACGAGAAGAAAAAGCAATCTTATATAGTTGGTTTCTATCGTTTCTCGAATTCAAAATGTTGTATAATTTTTTTTAATATTTGAGCAACTTGTATTTTATACTTGTAATTTTATACTGTATAATTGCTTTGAAAGTGTGAAAGAAAATCGTAAAATGATTCAGATTTGAGATGACGAAAAAGTCGAACTAATGACATCTCGTACTTACCGTCGTTTCATCCTCGTGCAAAACCTGATCGTATTCGGACATCGCTACGCAAAAAATGATTGCAGTCACATCCTCGAAGCAATGTATCCATTTCTTACGCTCGCTCCTCTGACCACCAACGTCAAATAATCTGATAAAAAAAACGAACATAAAAATAATCAGAATATGTTATCTTATTTTCTCGAAAAAAAATGAACGAAACGTCAATTTATATATATCTAAAATCGTATCAAACTGTTCCGAGTTCACCATGTCGCGTATTTTAATTATCTCTTAATCGGTATTTAATTTCTTCGAAAGGCCAAACGGCTGTTTAATGTGGATGTAATGTTATCTCGACACGCGCGCGATTTTCAACAACTAACTAAGCTAATTTTCAGTCTCTCTCTCTCTCTCTCTGACAAATCGAAGGAAAAATATAGTATCGAGTCAACGCTCTCGAACAAGCGAGCGCTCGAATTTACACAGTAATGACTCATTCACCGACCATTCATAACAAGATAGCCGCCTCGCGTCTCCGAAACGCCGTGTTCGCCCACGAGATTACTGAAGTGAGTCGACATAATGAAGCAAGAGCGATTGATATCGTTCGTTTATTGCGCCATCGCGCGCAAGACGATACTACACGAAACCGTGAATATCTCTATCTCTGAATTTATTCCTGCTTTTATATTTCATAATGTTTTTTTATTCAATTTTATTTAAATAAATTAAATTAAATTAATTAAAAATTCCGACTTACTTGAAGTTGAGGTTTTTGAAGGAGAAGTGAACCTCCACAATTCCCGTCGTTTTCACTCGGGTCCTGAGAATATCCTGTTCCGTTGGCTGATATTCCCTGGCTCCTAATCGATCCAAGTCGTCCAGGAAACTATGAAGAACAACGGATTCGTGAAAATGTGCCTATTATTCTATTAATTTATAATATAACTCTGTTATACATAGCGTGCACCATTAAGTATTTCGATCAAAGTATATTCGATATCAAATATCAATTAATATTAATAAATTTATTATTTTGAATATTTTATCTTAAATATCTCAAACTCATATTAGCTTCGTGAAACAGCAAAATGACAACAAATTCCGATTTATTAATTCCCATAAATATAATTCTTTTTTTTTTTATATAAGCACACATTTTTGTCTTTGTATATAAAGACAATAAATTCTTGCTCGAGTAACTATAAATCTACTGCGTATAATAAATCCAGTTTCGATTCCGAATGGTGAAAGTGTTAGTTTGACAAAGATGGGAGCTAGGGCGCGGTTTGCAACAAGTAGCTGGTAGCGGGCGGGATATAATAAATGGCGTTACTGTAATCGGGTCTTCGTGCGAACTGGCTGCTGCTGCGAGGAAATATTTCCATCAGCGCGAACACTTTAGAAGTTCCTCGCGAATTGTCCGCGAAATCGGCACGGTACTTATCTACACAATCGCTATCAAATTATTTTATACAAATGATACCGCAGTAAATGGCAATTTATAAATGAATAATGAAAAGAGAATTTGTGAAAAATAATTTGAGAAAATTATTGGTTTCATTTTAACAAGCTATATCGTAAATAGAACAAAGCGGTTTAATATTAAATATATTTCTCGATATTGAAATATTGGGGTGTGAATATTAAATATCGAATGATGAATGTATTCAATGCATAGTATCAAATGATAAATGATGAGAGTATTACTAATAATAATTATTTTACAAAGCGAGAAATATCAGGTGTGGATGATTTAACAATTTTTTCCGTACAATTTTCAAGAAATAGAGGAAGTAAGAGGTTAAAACTATAAGAGAGAACTACGCAAGCGCCATCTTTCTAGGCCACTGCTTACGGCGTTTAGGGGTTGCAAGGTGAGAAACGTCATTCCTTTTAGCCTACGTAATGAAAAAAAGAATGAGATGAAAAAGGGAAGCAGTCGGAAACTGATGAAGAGGCCAGATAAATGCGTTTCTGATAACGAAAAAAAAAAAATCAGAAAAAAAGATGCAAAAAAAAGTAGTAGCAAGAAAATATGAGAGAATAGGAAATGATTTGATGAAATGAAAGAGTCCATGAGAACATGAAAAGAGATAGAGAGAGAAAGAGAGCGCAGGAAATGGAAGGGTAGATTGAACCATGAAAAGAGAAAGAGAGAGAGAGAAAGAAAGTATCGAGCCGCCATGAAGGATCCGGCAATTTAGGACATGCCAAACTCGAGGCGAACGAGAGAGTCCAGATAATATCTCCCTGGAGAGGGAAAGAGCTTAGATTTTTCCGACAAGGGAAAAGACGAGGACAGAAAAAAAAAAGAGAGAGAAACGAATAAACCGAGGAGAAAATAGGAGAGAGGCTGTATGCCGGAACCCGGTCGGCCATCTTGGCCGCATGCCACGTGACACGGGCGTGGCGTGACGTCATCGGCGATCAATAATGACGAGGAGCGAGAGAGAGGGAGAGAACCTCGAAGAAAGCGGTAAAGAGAAAGAAAGAGAGAGGGTTGTAACGCGTATTTCTCATATATTTCAACTATCAGAGCTCGCCACCACCGTATCAACCCCCTCGTTCCCTCTCTCCTTCCGGTACCACCCCCGATCTTCCGCCAAACCTGTCGCATCTCCCCGACGTCCACCCCTTCGCGAGTTCTTCCTCGGGAAATTCGCGTTACCCTTTTCCGGCCCTGCTCGAGAAATGAAGTCTTACTGTAGCTACCTAGGGTGCGCGTCCTACAGAAGTTCTTGGGGGGTTGTTCGTGCATGAGAATTGTCCCTCTTTACGGAATGTTCATTTTTCCATCTCAAAAAATTCATGATCTCGACGTATTAATTATGTAGTATCTTTGATCAACTTGCGGAAAGGAATGAGGTTTCCCTAACTAAAAAAAAAAATCAAGATATCGGAGTTTAAAAGTTTTAAGCAATTGGAAAGATTAAAGGGAACTCTTCCGTCCAACAAATTTAAAAACTTTTCAAATCTTTTCAGAAATTTGTCATTTTATATATAAGTACAAATGTTTTCCTCTTGACCATGATTTTTTTTCGAATTAGTAGTAAAGCAAATATGTAAAATATTCAAACAGTGTATCTCGATTTTTCCCGTGAAATACAAAAACAGTTCTCGTTTATTCGAGTAAATTATTAATAATCAGCGAGGCCATTTCTCTCTAATATATAATACAGGGTGTCTGATGTAAAGTGTCACACCGAAAATATACAAGTAGATCTCGTTATTTGGAGATGATTTTTCCTCAGCAAAAATGTCGAAGGAGGCCATCATTTTTTGGATATTCCCAATTTTTATCATCATGTATCTTTATATAACTGAGCTTTAAATTAAAATTTTATTAAAGTAAACTCTACTTGAAATTAATTGGAGAATGTGGTTTTGTTAATATTTTATTTTCACAAGGTTCACTTAGTTTGCGAAAAAACCTTTATTTTCAATCGCTTATAACTCGAAAATTATTAATGCTTCTATATTTTTGCTGAGGAAAAATTATCTCTAAATAACAAAATTTACTTGTATATTTTCGGTGTGACACCTTATGTCAGACATCCTGTATATATATATATATATATATATATATACAGACTCCGTGGGTGGTATATTGTAATTAGGCGTGTGTTGCTCCGGCCATTGTAAACATATTTCTAATTGATGCAAATACGCGCGACATAAATGACTGGGGCACAATTATCGAAAAATGAACTCGCCACTTTTTTGTCGTTTCGCGACTTGGATTGCGACATCGTCGTTTTTTCTCCAAAAAAAAAAAAAAAAAAAAAGCAACCAGTTTTCGTTGCACACGTATTATTACGGTGGAACACAGGTCCCCATCCCTCGATGAATGATATATTAGGCGATGGCGCGGATTGCATGTGTGTGCACTTGCGTGTGCACTAAGTGTATGCGATAGCGTTGCACGTATCGTGCAACCCCCGGGTGCGAAACCGCAGTGCGGTTCATTAAAACGAAAGGACGGCGCCAGAAACTGCGCGAGTCCGTCGAAGGGAAAAAAAACAACCGCCGCTTTCGCATATACCACCCTTGCTATTGCATGCGGAAGGCAAACACGTATGCAGTTAAAATCTACCGCTAATATCGGCGGCGCAATAGCGACCGCACGACGTGATATATGTGTATATCGGGAAAATTGCGCGCGATTAAATCTCTCGCGATCAATCTATGTTTGTACAACGATCCGATTTTCTTTCAATGTCCATGCGGGGAAATTGTAGAGGGAAAAAATATGCAATTTTTTTTTTTTACACAAATATTAAAATAAAATTTATTTTAAAAATCAGTCAAGTCTCGAGTGATTAAATTTAAACGCAGGATTTAAGTGTTCGTGTTTTTCTTGAAGTATTAATCTTTAACAACCCTCGTAGAAAAATACTGTGTAGGTATATAAGAAAAAGTATATAGATGGAGAATTTTTTATCATTATTTCGCGAAGTACAATTATATTTGCTCCGATCCTAACTTTTCTTTTTTAAATCGCTATTTGCGATCAACGCGAATACTGTTATTTGACTTTATCAAAGTAGGTAGATTTGCAGTCGTTCGAGGTATTCTGGAATTTTTTTACACAAATATTAAATGATTTAAAAAATCATACGTTCAAGTAATTAAATTTAAAATGCAGAATTTGGTATTCGTGTTTTTCCTGCATTAATCTTTAACACCTCTCGTAGAAAAATACTGTATATAAGAAAAAGTAGATAGGAAATTTTTTTATCGTTATTTTACGAAGTACAATTATATTTGCTCCGAAACTTTTCTTTTTTTTAAATCGCTATTTGCGATCAACTCGAATACTGTTATTTTAACTTTATCAAAGTAGATAGATTTGCAGTCGCGTTCGAGGTATTCCGGAATTTTTTTACACAAATATTAAAATAAAAATGATTTAAAAAATCATGTTTCAAGTATAATTAAATTTAAAACGTAGAATTTAGTATTCGCGTATTTTTCCTGCATTAATCTGTAACACCCCTCATAGAAAAATACTGTGTATAAGAAAAAGCATAGATGGAGCATTTTTTATCATTATTTCACGAAGTACAATTATATTTGCTCCGATAAAAACTTTTCTTTTTTTCAAATCGCTATTTGCGATCAACTCGAATACTGTTATTTGACTTTATCAAAGTAGATAGATTCGCAGTCATCATTTGTTCAAGGTATTTCGTAAAAATAAAAAAATGCTTAGTGTGGAGATAACTGATGAAAGTATTGGAAAACGGTACTATACCCGAGATACAAGCGCTACTACAAAATCAATATCCAACGAAGGGGCAGCGCGGAAATATGCCTGCGAAACGCACCGAGAGAGAGAGAGAGAGAAAGAAAGAGAGAGAGAAGGGACGACAGGTCTCGTGTTCAGGATGAGGTTTGCTCCTTCTACCTCCGTCCTTTCGAGCACGCGAATTCTCAAGAGTGAAATTCAAGTCCTGAATACCTTCTTCGTGACGCGCGATAAAGCCAGGGGCAAACTGGTGCCGATGCAAAATTTACCAACCCAAAATTAGTTATTTTGCCTCAAGATAATTTCTTATCTAAATGAGAAAAAAAAATATATATATATGTCGACTCGTAAATTTGATACCTTTTCGCAATTTTGATAAAACCTATACGTGTTGCAAGTCTTACAATTCATCATTGATGCTGTAGCATGTGAAGATTAACATTTTTTCGTGCTATTTTTACGGTGTTGGAAAATTTTGAGATTTATATATCCTTTGGTAGAGCAATCGTTTTCGCACTTACTATTTCGCGGAGTCGTTCAACTGATACTCGTTGCTCCTGCCAAAGCACTCCTGTACTCCATTATCGGACCACAGCCTCTTCATAGCCGCCAATAATTCTTCACTGAAGGGTTCCGTGTCTTCCATTCTTTGAATTACGTCGAACACCATTTTTGCGTCCGTCTGCGAGCACGAAAAAGAAAATGTTCAATCTGTGCATCTCCGAAAACATTCTTGTAACGTTGCTTTTTTTACCTCAGGCTTTGCCAAATATCAATATAATATAATAACCGATAATTGTAAAATGACATAAGATACATTAAAGACGTTCTTTCTACATTTAAGTATCCTCACAATTTCTAATTACTTGACAAGAATAATAATTATTTTCCTGTAAAATAACGTTTCGCTGATGTCACAAGTTAAATTCAAAATTGGATGATTCGCACGATCAACATTCCTGATGATCATATTTTTTAATTCTAACGAATGACACATTTTGATGACGAACACCTAAAGATTCTTTTCACGCGTTGTCGCTGTATGTATGTGATAATTACATAATTGAAACATTCCCGCGTATACTTATACATATAAAGAGTTCTCTGTATTAAGGAGAGGCAGTCAATAATTATTCGGACGATCTTGAAGCATCCGGATCGCTTTACAGGATCGCTTTAGACGGCTAATCGACCAGGCAACACGTCGTGATTCGCCGTTAAATGCTTCATTCATTAGATAACCGTCGGCGTGCAGTGAACCACATTCTCGATGTCATGTCATACATCTCGCACGTTAAAATAGCCAACATGCAATATTTAAATAATACAAGAGATATATACGCGATTGAGATACTTCAACCCATTTTCATAATTTTACAATTGACATTTCATTGCAATTTAACGATACACGTGTATATCCTGTACAGATAATCAACGTAAAGCTCTCACGTTAATAAATTACATCGGAAAAATTAAATAATTTCCCGTTGCATGTATGATATTTTTTCAGATTAAAAAAATCTGATTCTAATAAATTAAGAAATCATGTATATCGTTTGCTAAAATATCAACGCATGATTTTATCCAAACAATATAAACCGAGCCAAAAATGTTTAATTTATTATTCGCTAATTGCCATAAAATGTCAGTAAAACACGTCAAAACGATTGTCAATATTTGAAATTGATATCTACGACCCAGCCTTTTCCTCGACAATAAATCGCAATTTTTTGCAAACATAAAGAATATACATTACCTCTCGCTCGTTGGTTGAAAAACTGATGCCCAAGTTAGGCATTGCTCTGAGAATAGCGACTAGAGATTGTATCGTGTTACTGTATACAACAGGTCTGTACTGCTTGAAGTCTTCCGGCGTGAAGCCGCTCTCGTGGATAATTCTGAAAGCAGAATCAGACTCGCGTTAACATATCAAATGGAAATATATCTTTTCTTTCCCATAAATATATCGAGAGACGGAGAGAGTTTAAGAACGGCGCGCGTTTATTCTAAAAATATATATCGGGTATACGACACATTTTTTAAAAATAGAAACACTTTTCTAAAGGAACGAAATATATACACATCGGCAGATAGAGAGTATCATTGATGACACGTATTAATAGATATTAAATGAGTAGACACGTACGAATATTCCATTTAATTTAAATGTCTCTCTCGCTCACTCTTTCCCGCAAAACAGCTTGCGTAGTTCGCTATAATATATACGCGTGTCACGTACGCAACTGCTCGAATTAATGTATGTCACGTAGTGCATCGTGTGTAAATGTATGAATTGCAATGTACGTTACATATACTAATGTGACTTACACGAGTGCCCGTACACATCGTAACAATGTTCATAGTCAACATACGTGAGTTATAGAGTCGGCGGCTTTATGTATACAAATGAAAAACACGCGGAATAATATTATGCGATATAGATTTTCATGTCAGTTAAAAATATATTATATATATATATATATATATATATATATATATATATAATTATATAATATATATATATAATTTCTTGCTCTCTCTCATCGTGTTTTCTTGAACACGATTTTTGAAAAATATATCCCACATCTCTATGTGTTTAGACTCGAGGAAATCCAAAAAAATTGCAAAAATATAACAAAACATTAATTAAGAGTCTTTATTTTAACAATCTTTCTAGTATATATTTATTTATTATATATATATATTTTTTTTTAAAGAGTAAATAGACATTTAAAAATATTAATAATTTCTATATGCATAATGTATTTTCATTTTTACCTTACATATCACACTGAAAAAGATTACTAGATTAATAAATATTTATTTCAAAGCTGTCTAATGAATCATTTATTTGAAATAAATATTTATTTGTTTTGAAAAGAATTGTCTTCTATGAAAATAAATATTTCTCATATCAAATCAATATTATTAGTTACGATTTATTTGGCAGTATCGAAATAAATACTTACTCGGACTCGATAAATTCTTTTTCGGTGCAAAAAAGAGGAAAAATCTAATTTGAAAGCTATAACTCGTAAATATTAATTAAAATTCCTATTTGTGTATAACATTGTGTAATAATGCTTCTCGCTTCGTCAAAGCGAGCACATATAAAACAACGCAGTTAATGACACATTAAGATACCAACAAAGAATACCATGCTGCCTATTACACTAATAAATGACACAGAAACATGCAGCGGCGTCCCTCTTTCCTCACTATTTTCACGAGTAACGATATTAACGACGGCATAAAGAGCATTACGTACGCACGCACATATCATCGGATTTATGGGTACTTGCACGCGAAGGAAAACCGGGTGTTGTAAGGGTGTACGTAAACTCGCGAGCTTCGCTCGTACTTCAGTCTCAGGTACCCACTGTTTGCTGCATATTATGCGCATCGATAAATTATGCAGTCAGAATATACAAGAGAGTGCAGTAGTACATATAGGGATCCTTATTTCCACGAATATATACAGACCAGCCCCGACGCGAAAATTCATATTTAATGTAAGCGCAAAAATCCAATTACGATAACGATATCCAATTTTTTTTCATAATTAATATCTATTATATAAAAATATAAGGAGAACAATTTTTCTGCCGTTTTTCATCCGATATCATCCCACCGAGTAAAATTATCGTAAAATCCAATATCGAAGATCGAGCGTCAAAGACGATGCATGCGAAATTAATGAAGAATCAAAAATAAAGAGATGAAAATAAAAAACCTCGCCGAGGTTTCCTTCCGCCGAGAGAACGCGCACAGCGGTAACTTTGTTCATCGGACCCCTTGAAACAGGGCCCATTCATAGCACAGGAAGAGAGAGAGAGAGAGAACGCGTATCAGGGAACAGCTGCTGTTCTCGAATACATGCAAAAGAGCGTATATCGTTCGTTCTACACTCAGGCGGAGAGTATCGATCTCGCCGAGAGGCGAGGCAACAGTTTGCCTCGAAATAATGCCGATGCACGGACGCGAAAAGATTAATCTATCTCGCACGTGCGAGAGATGGACGCGCGCTATTATGCGCTATTCTACTTATTCTTGCGGGCGCGACGACAATAATTCGCGAGGAAATTGTGTGCGCGCGCGTAACAACAATTTCTATATTTATGTATGTATAGTATCAAACGACGTGTTATTTCATTTTCAGTCTTAAATAAATCTACACTAAATTCATACGTATTTAGTTCAATACTGCCAAATCAATCATTTATTTGAAAAACAAATCAATATTGATTTGTTCTGAAAAGGATTTTCTTATATCAAATAGGTAAATATTATTAGTTTCGAATAAATGATTTATTTGGCAGTATTGAAATAAAGACGAGAATTAACTTGATTTTTTTTTCAGTGTACATACGTCAAAAAATGTGCCTAAATTCGATTATTTTATTGCGATTCATAGAAGTAGAACTGAAATTAAATTGCTGATAATAAAAATATAACAAAAAATAAAATAAAAGTATAATAAAAAAATAAAAAGCTTTTGTTCGAATGCACATTCGAGGCTTATTCATAATCAAAAGATTATATGTGTCTCCGATGATAACGTTTTTGCGGGATATGATGGATGTAACGAATGAATGAATGAATGAATGAACGTGTGTCGGGTCTGCGTGTGATGAAATAAATTTTCTATGCAAATCTCACGTCCTATTTGAAGTTTTGGATAGTTAGAATGTTGCACAGTTACATGCACATGCATACGGCATGCATTTTAAATGGAATTTGGATTGTATGAATTTTGATTGGATTTTAGGACAAGTTGAATCACGTGTCACAATTTAGAATGACAAACGAGAGGAATTGGGAAAGAGGAATGTCTATAAAAGTATAATTAGGCAATTTAATTTTCAACGATTCAACCTATTTATTCTCCAACAAACTAAAATATATCTCATTTAAAAAATCTGTTTTATTTCTACATATTATCAAAAGACATATTATTTAATTTCCATTCTTGAATAAATCTGTCGTTAAAAAATGTGCCTAAATTCGATTATTTTACTGCGGTTCATAAAAATAGAACTGAAATTAAAATGCTGAGAATAAAAATATAATAAAAAATAAAATAAATAAAAATAAAATAAAAATACAATAAAAAAAATAAAAAACGTATGCCACAAAATAGGATTGTTGAGGATTAGGATAAAATCTTTAAAATATGAAATTCTGACAGTCTAGTCGAGGGTCCAGGAAAGGAGCGTGGGAAAAAAACGTCTCATAATCGTCTGCAACTGACTGATGAGTGTTCGCAAATTAGCATTTCCGCGACGTCGCGAAACATCAAAGGATGCAAGCCTTGTTCGACATCGTATTGTACCATTGTATCCACGACGGCCCATTCTTGTCGCATTCTTCGTATCGTCTCATTTTCGCAAACGCCGGAAGAGCCGTTCAACTTGCGGTTGAGAAATCCGTGACGCAAAATATTCGCCTTTTCCTAATTACGCGAACGAGTCGAATATGTGAGAATCGTTCTCACCATCGTGTAAAAAATTCGAATTTCAAATTTTTAATAATTTTGATTTTTTTCCTCTTTTTTCCATAAAATGTAAACTTTACTTTCTGCTATAATTCGAAATAAAATTCATTAAAAAAATTGAATTTTAACAGGCTAGGAAAGGAGCGCGTTTAATTTCAAGGGAAAATTAATTTTTATTCAAACCAATGAGTTGTGTACACAGGACACAATTTTTTCTCGATACGATAAGTAATTAAATAAATCTCATACTTCGAGAGATGTTATTTTTAAATTCCTAGCGCTAGATGAGATTTAAATGAATAATAAATTGAGAAAATAAAAGTCTGAGTTGTGAAAAATTAAAAAACCTTATATGAATGTAATTGAAATTGCATAATCAACCGGCTAACTTAGAGTTAATTAATTTAATCGGGAGCAGCAGATACATATTACAGAACAAACAACAGACACACGAGCATACAATCTCGTTTCAATAATAGAATCCCTCCCTTCTAAATGATAATTAGTGTGCATGTGCAGTATTAAGATGATTATATACTTACTTCATTTGTTTCACGATGGTACTCTTGCCGGACTCGCCCGCTCCTGAAAAAAGAAACAGAAGGAGAAGCGTTAATTGAAGCCGGTCATATTCTCGCGATTACGTATCATCGAATTACGTTGCAAAATGCACTTTGCGCAATGAACAAAGGAAAGATAGGCTTCCTCGTGCTCTGTTTAATTTCAGATTGACTTGCCTCAACGCGGAGATATTTTATAATTTAGATCGAAGATTCAAAAGCTGCAATCAATCATTCCTACTCGTCAAATCCGCCGAGGAGAAATTCCTCAAAACAAATCAATCGTATTATTTCATTACGATTTTAATTATAATGATACAATTATTTTAGAAATAAGTAATAATCATGTGGATATATTATAATTCAAATTTGATTTAATTATTAATAATTCTCAGGAAAGAGAAAGATATGATTTTCGACGTGTATCGTGAAAATCGATAATCGCGTTAGGACGGGTTATCGCGAAATATATATAACCGGATACATCGGCGGAACTCGCTTTTCCTGCTTACCGCAAGCCTCCGCCTTCTCAATTTTAAAAGCACTCCCAGTGTAAGAAGGCATCTATAATAGCTACTCACGGTTAGAGTCGCTTAGTATCGACCAAATACACGTGAGATCTCGAGTGAGCGGACGAAAGACCGGGAAGAAAGGAGTCATCATCTCGAGACAAGCGATGATGATCCTCTCGTCGAGATAAAGAGTATATATCAAATAGAGAACTAAACGAGTCGAAAAAAAAATGTCTAGGGTTCGTCGGCACGGATTATCGATCCGAAACTTCCGAAACTTTATTTACTCTCGATAGACCGATTGTATCCTCCAACTCTAGTAAGTCCTGTTAAACTCTAACTCCGATAACTCTAGTTAGATTCTATCGAACTTATATACTGTGTGTGCTTCACTTCGGATAAAATGTATGATTCAGGAGAAGATCGCGTTTACTAGTGTCGTTATAAAAATTTTAGATGCGCTTTTTAACCGCTCTATATTTTATACTACACTGTTCTGTCAAAACTTGGAACGATTTTATCTGGACATTAATCTTGGATAATGCGTTCAAATCTCTTTTTCTCCTTGTAAAAATTATTCATATATAATACATTAAAATTTAATAAATACTGCATCTCATTCTCATCTATTCGGGCCAAGTTTACACGTTGAGAACATCTTTATTCATTACACACGTAATAAATGCGGAAATGAGATAATTTAGATAAATTCCAGTGCTTGGAAAGATTGATAAGAAAAAACAAGTTCATACTTTATTATCTGTACTATGTAGGTCTAGTATGTATTTAATTAACGATAAGAAAAATTGCGAAAATTAAATCCGAATAATTTTGCCAATTGGATATTACATAAATGTAATATTTTTTATATGAAAATTTTTTTTTCGTTTCATGAGCCTCTTTTGTCTAAATGAAGAGAACTGGTGTTATTTATAACAACGCTATCATTATAATGTTTTTAATTATAACGATAAAACTATTATAAAATTTATTCGTAAAGTGCATTTTTTCGATAAGGATAACAAATTCAACAGCTACTTTTCGAATCTGCTTTTGATATTTTTGATATCGATATCGACATCCCTTGATAGTAATAGCGATATCTATATATAAAGTGTATCATATTTATAATAATTTTAATAATAATCCTATTTAAATACATATACTTATTACTCAAATAATTATTTAGCAGAAAAAAAAGCAAAAAAACAGATGTTTTGTTCTAAAAGCCTTACTTTATATAGATATATATGTATATAAAAATAAATTAATCAGATTTAAAATTCCTATTATATCGATATCGATATGCCTTGACGTTGTTAGAATTTAAAAAAAAATTACAAAATTTGTAATGATAGCGAATTATTTTTTAAAATCGAAAAATAATAACGAAAAATGGTAACCAGTCTTTTAGGAAAAAAGAACGAATTATTGTTATCGAATTATCGTTATTATTTGATGAAATAACTTCCCATAAATCTTTGAACGCTTTTAAACATCAACGATTAATTATTATTAATTATTACAATGTGATTAATATATTGAATCTTTTAAACTATAAATTTATAATATAGAAAACTGTTTAATTCTCTCTGATGGATGTAAAACAAAAATATATCGTAATTAAACTCTGTTTGAAATAATAATTAAAATTTGGAGAGATAAAATATTTACCAACCAGATATTTAAAAATTAAAATAAAACACACAGATCCTACATAATTCTATACGTATATTGTAATAATATCGTTGGAAGATTAAATACTGATTTTAATATAATTGAACGCAATGTTTATCATATAGAAAAATATCTCGGCCTCTTGTTATGATTTACAGATTGTAATAAATTACATTTTATTACACTTCCTCTCTCTCTCTCTCCATTGAAGCATTTCGACCGGTTTCTCGCGCAAATATACCGCGCCCTTTGCCATTTACTCCATTTTACATCGGTACACGCATTCGCGATATGTAATCAATGTTAATAATTCTTAAACACACAAAGGTATATTTGATTTGCAGAAACGTTCTTTGAAATTTCCGGAGGAATAGACCGTCTATGCAAAATAGATAAAACTACAATACTTTATTAGCACACTAATTTTTGATCAAATAAATAAAAGAACTTATATGTATATTTTTAAATATTATATTTAAATATCTATGTTTAAATTTGCTCTCGTAATTATGTCGCGTTAAAATTTGATAATCATCCTTCGTAGCAGAGAGTATCCTGTAGTTTTCACAGTTAACTCGCTCGTGCCTAATTCAATAATGAGAAATAGAAAGATGTAACAATAGCAAAAATAAAAATTATTGTTTTCTACGATTTAAGATGAAAGTAAAATAAAATCGGTTTATCTTTATCTCTCTTTTTTTCTACATATCGGCGCTACACGAAATCGCGACAAAGGCATCTCGCTCGACATTTAACGCCATAGAACAGCCCTGCATTGCCTCGAAATACGCAACATGCGTTTGTATTTCACAGCCGGGGCACTATTAATCGGATGAAAATACTCGCAGTCAATTTGCGCACGTACATATACGCACGCACGTTCCACCGGCGAATGACGTCACTCGTTATACCAATAAACAGGACCCACATTTCGCTGGAAAACGTATCTTTTACGGTGCTCAATGCGCTAACACAGACTTGTGATTTTCAGAAAGTATTGTGTACATCCTCGAGAAATACGAGTAATGTGTCGTTAAAAATTGAGAGCTTCCGGCGAAATCTTCTCTTCTCTTTTCGCATTAGTTACGTAATAAAGACTGATTTTTTATTTAAATCTCAAAACGTTCTCACTTTTACCATGCATCATTAATCTACGTCGTTGACATAATGATTAATGTTGGATATTCTGATACGATATTATAATCGAATATTATAAATGTAAATATATACATATATATATATATAAATTATTCAGCTTCTTTTTTGTGTTCATAATTAAATCTTATTTCTCATTTATTCTCATATATTAAATTCAAGTCGACATAATAACTGATAATGTAATGTAAATTGATATTAATAAATGTAAATTACATATAATTGAATATTATAAATGCTCCTCCAAAAATAAGATTAAGATTAAAATCGATGTGATTCTCTTCGGGACGCCGGAGAATATCTCATCGCGAAACAGAGAACGATAAAGTAAATTGAAAATGTGCGAAGCAATTAGTACGCAGACGGATAAGCGAGGACAATACGCCGTGGTGCATTTTATTCCGCCCCCGCACTGATTTTCCTTTTAATTATAGCGCGAGGTCGGCGAAGAATTTCTCATCAAGACTTCGATCAAATTTAGGAACACACAATTAGCGCGCAACAATATCTATAAAATATATAACTCGAATTTAATGATGAGCGCAATTATCTCGTCTGCAACGAAATGCTACACAACATTTGTCTCGTTGATATCGGATATTATGTCATCGAGAATAAAAATAACACCGCGATAAAATATGAAACTTATCGATACGTATGAAGAATTAATTCGCAAACACACGAAAATCAGGAACTGTCAAATAACTAATATGTATTCAAATAACTATATGTTTATGTCTATATAATGATCATGTATTATGTATTATACTTACAATACTCATAAGTTATAAGTCGTAAGAAATTTTTGCTTATATAATAATCTCATCAGTTTAAAAAATCTAATCGACTTAAAATATTGACAGAACAAATCTTTGAAAAATTCTTTCTTTTGCTATAGTTCTTATAATTATTCATGATACTTTTTGATGAGATAAAAAAATGTATTATAAATAATACAATAATTCCAATCCAAGCGATTCATATAATTCTTGTAATTATTTATGATACCTTTTTATGAGATGAAAAATGATGTTATAAATAATACAATAAATTAAATCCAAATACGTACATTCAGAGATTATAGATATCTGATTTTTACGAAATGTGATAACTAAAGAAATCAATTGGGTATATATCTATTTCTGAATGTACTTTATATAATACAGCTGTGATCTGTAATGCGGAAAACGACTCGGTCGAAGATAAAATACGTTGAAACCGCGATCCTAAATTATCCTCGTATCCCCCCAGCGTATTCTCGGTTTGAAAAAAAAAAAAAACTGACGATAAACTTTTCCGGTCGACTAAAAATTCATAGCTTTCAACCCTCTCCCACTCATAACTCGAGGGATACCGACACGTGGCAGCAGTATGTGTGTCCCGGTGACATTCTTCAATCGCTGACAAATAACTCGAAAGTTTTGAGAGGCCGTAGGGAAAAAGAAGAACCGTGTCTGTGGATTTATTTTTCCAGCGCTCGCGACGTCATTCATTGTCAAAATATTTTCAGCGAGCTATATATATATACGTCTATCGATACAACGACGCAAGTCCGTCATTTTAATTTTTAAGTCGTTAAAAAACTTCTCTTCCGAGAGCTGCATATTCCCTCTACATTGTAAATAACGACACGCGCCATCTTCGCGTGTCGTCATCCCGAAACGCTGACGTCACTGTCATCCCGAAACACTGACGTCAAATGCTAATCCGATGTTGACACACACCGGCAATTATGCGCCTCGAACTCTCCGGCGTGGATTGAAAGAACTGTCATCATCCGACTGACGTCGGATGAGCGATCGGGCATTACCCTTCCGCAATAAGGAGGAACACGCTTGTTGCGCCATTCTTCCGCTTTTACGTCGCGTTCAATTTCCTGCGCGCGCCCGTCAATTTAAAAAGCTGCCTCTCTTTCTCTCTCTTCTTTAACTCTTTTGTTTGGCTAAACCGAGACTCGACATTTTATTACTTTAATTCTCTAATTTAATTTGATATAATTACGCGGATTTGTTGCGCGCGAATCAGCGTTAAAAACTAACTGTTTACGATCAACCTGTCAGCTTTTTTACGCAGAGAAACGGATCATTAATTTTTGCTCCAACATTTATATATCGGAGGTAATTGAAAATGAATTGCAAACTCGATAAATTTTTTGCGCGCAACAAAGAACTTGGGTACAATTCGTTCTTTGCAATCTAGAAAATAGGTAGATCAATAGAGGCTAAAAGCGCATGTGGTGCGCAACTCCTCACCGATCATAGATCCGCCATAGCTCATGAAATATCTAACGCGCGAGAAAAGCAACGGTGTTAGATATATACAACGACGTCGCGACGTCGTCGATGTAATCGCGGTCGATCGTCAAGTTGTATCAAACTATTCCGGAAAGATAATTTCTAGGGCAATATTTACACGCCTTGACATAAAACTTATCTTTCCCACGTTTCACGGAATACTCTTAAAGAGCTATATAATTCTTTTCACTCAAGAACATTGGATTATTTCGTTATCTTTCCGCATTGTAGTATTTGATATGGAAAAAAGAAAAGTCGATATAAAATTGAAAATCGGAATTATATAAAAAATTATGAAAAATTGTTATTGTAATATATTCGTCAAGTAAGGGAGGAACATTCGATATATTTTTGTATCTCAATATGACTCGCAACTGGGGTGTGTCACACTCCTTCTGCCCATCTTAGTTATTCTCATAGGTGGTGTGTGCACCAGTCGACACTTTTACATTGAATACACAAAGATTTAAAAATAAAAATAACATGTAATGTATAAAAATGAAGGGAAAGATCACTTGACAAAACTATTGGAAAATCCGAAATAATTCGAATCATCGCACTCTAATGTAATCTTCTAAAGAAATTCAGGCTCGGAGATAATAATAAAATATCAAATAATAATTGTCTACAATTCCGAATTTCAACTTTACATCCAGCACTTTCTCTTCCGCCTCGAGCAAACGTGTAAATAAGAATGTCAAATATTAGCCTTGTGATGAAACTTGAACGAGCGCGTGTACATACACATACAGTAGTACTTGCTCGTTATACAGACATTTCGGGATGAAAGTAAACAAAGTTAAAGTAAATGGCGTACCAAGCAGCAGGAGCTTGATGTCCTTGGCCGCCTGGATGCCATCCTCCTTGAGATTCTTCTCGATCTGCTTGCTGCGAGCCAGAGCGGCCCGCTCTTCCGCGGACATGGCACAGCCCATCTTGCTACACGTTGCCTTCACAAATGCCACCCTCACGCACTTCCTGTATCACCTGCTGCTGCCAAACAGCGCGGCCGGGTGACGGCCCGGTCGCCTCGGAGAAGATGAGACGGCCTCCTGGCGCAACCGCTCTCCCTCCTTCTTCTCCTGATCGCCGCCTCGTTAATCCCGTCCTCTTCGTCGCACTTCGCACCCGCGGCCGTCGCCACCACAGCAGCCGACAACACCACCACCACCACGAGCACCGTAAACACCCTCACCGACACTATCTTCACCGGCACCACCGTCTTCTTCTTCTTCTTCTTCGTCTTCTCCACCACCACCACCTCCACCACCACCACCACCGCCACCACCACCACCACCACCACCACCACCACCACCGCCGCCGCCTCCTCCTCCTCCTCCGCCACCACCACCGCCGTCCTCGTCTTCGTCGTCTTCGTCTTCGTCGTCACCGATGGCAACCTTACCGAGGCGGCAACCGGCACCGAGTGGTCCCCTAACTACCTGGGCGACCGCAGCCACCCGTACACAACCCTAACCACCGCCACACTTGCGCCGATTTAGCCGCGCGATTCAGCTGCGCCTGAAAGCAGAAAGGGATGATCAGGTCAAATCGCCCAAGTCCGTGAAAACAGTTTCAGGGGGATGTTTCTATCAAATATTAGTTTTATTTAACTAGATTTATTGGCTGTGCTTGGAATATGAAAAATCCTTTACTAGAATTCAGACACACATCTGGGCTACCATATATGTATATTTAAAAAACCAGGGAAGTTAAAGAATTCGGTTTCTTATTGGTCGGGTTGGAAGGGATGACCAAGTTGAATCGCGTAAATCAAAAAAATTCAAGGGGACTGTTTCTGTCTTAAATATTATTTTCATTTAACCATTTATTGGTTGTGCAGAATGACAAATCCTTTACTAGAATTGTAAAAAGTCTGGACTGCTATATTATGTACGTATAAAAAACCAAGAAAGTTAAATAATTACAATTTGCTTGGCCTAATGCAAAAGATATTACTACATAAATATAGTAGCCTAGATTCCCTTAACATATATCTTTCCTTCTTCAGAATTAAATTGAAAAGATGAACGGTTTCACGGGGTATATTGTTACACATGATTCGCGTTTTGACATCGCTGCACTACAAACATCCCGAAGAGAATCGACTCCTCGTTGTCACGCGAGCTCGTTGGAATAATCGATCACGTGTAACCGGATTAGATTGGCCCGATATCGGCGATTGTTTAACCAATCCTCGCCTCATTGAACGAGTACAAAGAAGAGGACGACACTCAGGTTTTCACTCTTCCAACGACGAGTATATACTAATCCCAGACTTGGCAGATCGCCCGCGTTTGATAGGCCGAAAGCTTCTGATAACGTCGTTCATCGTGTCTCATTATTATTACTCGACGCAAATCGGATAATAATTTTATTAGACCTGGCTTTATTTGAAATTCCTCATTTCAGGATCGATTCAAAATGGCGCATTTAAAGAATGTGTATTACGTTTTTTGACGAATTGGACACATTTGAAATTAGAATTGTGGGGGAAAAAGAGGAAAATTCCGCATGCAAAATTGTACTCATCTCGTAATAAACTAGTGGAACATTCGTCGTTTGATTAGACGCGATAGTGAAATAGCTTTACGGTCTAGTCAGCCTAGTTTAACGCGGTTCATAGAGAGAAGTGTCGTTGAGAGTGGAAAAGCGACATTACGATGAAACAGAAGATCAAATTGCGGGTCTTGATGAGCTATTTAAGAAAATTCAATCCAAGTTTCTCTCTCCCGTTTCCCTAGTTACCGAGAACAAACCTAACTTAAACGGAGTCTTATGAAAAGATAGCAATGCCAAATTAGATTCTCAATTTAATTGCAATTAAAATCTGGAAGCAATTATTCGACTATTTAGTAAAAACAAATTAAGTTTCAAGATATCGAAACGGAATTATAAAACTCGAATATTTTATAAAATCCTGCAATAGCAACAAAACCATAAACTTCACGCGATAAATAACTCTTCGCATAACTGAGATGACTTCTTATTAATTCGATAAAACGAAATACCAAAAGCATTTCTCATATGCAATCGCTACCGCAATAAATGTAAGAAATGTGCGCAAACTGCGACGCTAAAAATCTACATTAAAAAATATTTCAATCGCGTCGACATCGAAACATCGAGACGCGAATTTAATATAAGTTCGATATCTTTGTTTGTCAGATAATCGTCAGATTACGAGCTTATTGTCGTCGAAAGTATCAGTTTCTTAGTCTCCAAGTTTCATAACAACGTTTCTCGCCGGAATTCTGGGACACCCGGTACGTGGTAGAACGTAAATCGAAACTCATCGAAATTGTTCCGGTGCGATGAATTTTTAACTAGCGGAAATCTCGGACGGGAAGAACGTCCGTGCGGTTTATTCGTTTGTCGGTTTGTTCCAACGTATGTACATGCACATCTTTTCGCGAGCACACGGCATTATACATGGAAACACACACGAGCGTACGATCAATAAAATGCAACGACCTGATATAATGGAAGCGATACGCGTCGCGCTTCATAAAATACCATCTCGCCGGCTCGGTGCTGGATATATAAGACTAAAATGCGTCGAATCGGAACGTAAAACGTGCGAGAGCGGATGAACGGACGAAATAAGCGCGAAAAGTCCGACCGGCCGCGATCGATCTTCGATTTATCGAGTTTTTCCCTTCCCGATTTCAACCCCCGCGTTCCGGCCGCTCGCGTAATTAACGTGCGACAGAAAAAAGCCTCTGACGACGAGAGACTCGTAACATTGACCTGTGCAACAAGCTGCTGCGAAATTAATTAAATTTTAATTAAGAAATTTTAATAATTTGCATTATTTAAATTTAAGGTAAATATCTTGTCAATCAATTTGAATGGAGAATTATTTTATATAACAAGATTGTTGCGCGTTTTATTTACGCGCACTTGATTCTTATAAGCCTGAATTTATATTTGCACACGAGAACCTTTTTTCGATTTATTCTAAAATTATTTACCCCTGATATATTTTATTTTCGGGGTTATCAGTTTAATTCGCCGACCTAAAACAACAAAGCGGTCGCGATCATGGGATAATTAAATTTTAATAATTTTAATTATTTAAATTTAAGATAAATACAGAAATATTTTGTCAATCAATTTAAATGGAGAAATATTTTATAACAAGATTGCTGCGCGTTTAATTTATGCGCAATTGGCTCTCATAATTAAGTCTGAATTTATATTTGTATATGGTATATACCAGAATCTTTTTTCGATTTATTCTAAAATTACGCTCAATATACAATATTTTATTTTCGGAATTATCATTGTTTAATTCGACCTAAAACTACGAAGCGGGCGCGATCGTGATATATAATAAACGTCTTGTGACCGAGATTTTATTGTCAGCGCGGTTTCAAGATTCAGCGCGCACAACAGAGAAAGGATTCAAACCCTCAAATATACATTACATAAGTCGTGCTTAATTCCACGAATAGCACACATAATCAAGTGTCCGAAAATTTTCTGCGCGCTTTTTCACATATTCGAATTGATCATTTTCGCATCATCCTAATATGCACTTTGAATTTTTAAAGTCTACATAAGAATGAATTTTTTTTTAATAATTACTCGACATAAATAAATAGTAAAATATATTTCACATTATATAAGATAAAAATATACTGATTCTTATTCAGTGTCATAAAAATCGGATTCGCGATCCCTTTTTCCGTAATATTAATTAATCGTTAGAAAATTAAAGAGTACTTGTACGCAACATAAATTTTATTTTTTTTTTTTTAATTAATTTTCTGATAAACCAATCAGAGTCAATATGCATAATTTCTCGTATATCTGAAGTATTTAATATAACACAATATACAAAATCTTTCTCTTTCTCTCTTTCCGATATATGCATGGTCACGCGATACGTGCATATATTATACATATACATATATCCAGATAAATATATATATATATATATATATCTGCAATTTAAAAGCCATTAAAAATACAACCCACACATTTCGCTTTGTTTCGCGTCGTTATAAAGAAAATTAAAATGCATTTTATGGGAAACGTTGCGTTATCGAGAGAAATTGTACTCGGTTTTTTTAATTCATCGGGAGACTAAAATATCCCACCGTGACTTTTTGACGAAAACACGTTGACCCACATGTATCGCAATATACATGCACATATATTGCAATTTTATCGTATATCATGAGCGACGTATCGCACGCTAATACATTCTGCGCATCACGAAGAGCTTAACTGAATCGTAAAGCGAAATTGTTAAAATGTTTACCCTCTCTTTTTTTATATACTCCCGTTTTCACCGATATCTTTCGTCGACATGACCGCAAAAGATACGATAGCTATATTACGCACATTTGAGCCGACAACAAGTAATATAATATAATATACTCACGAGAGCCTCCTTTTCAGAGTCTTTAGATTTTCAAAAATTAATTTTCAAAACGCTACAATAATGAATCTTTTAAGATTGATATCGATCACTTTCTCTAGCGTATGTGTCTTTTAAACAAAAATTTTAAGTGTAAATCAAATGTTTTATTTATTAAATATTTCAAATCTTTATTATTTCAATTAAGCTACATTAAATTAATAAGCGCTTTTTTTAAATGGGAATAAATTTGATATATTTATAAATATTTTATATCGAACAAAATAATTGGCAGGAAAAGCGAAAATTGATATAATTCATAGGTGTACTATTTTTATTTCAAAAATTCTTTCGAGAATTAGAATCCATTTTCAAAACGCTACAATAATGAATCTTTTAAGATTGAGATCGATCACTTTCTCTAGAGTATGTCTTTTAAACAAAAATTTTAAGTGTAAATCAAATGTTTTATTTATTAAATATTTCAAATCTTTATTATTTCAATTAAGCTACATTAAATTTAAGCGCTATTTGATATATTTATAAATATTTTATATCGAACAAAATAATTGGCAGGAAAAGCGAAAATTGATATAATTCATAGGTGTACTATTTTTATTTCAAAAATTCTTTCGAGAATTAGAATTAATTTTCAAAACGCTACAATAATGATGAATCTTTTAAGATTGAGATCGATCACTTTCTCTAGCGTATGTGTCTTTTGTAAATCAAATGTTTTATTTATTAAATATTTCAAATCTTTATTATTTCAATTAGCTACATTAAATTAATAAGCGCTGGGAATAAATTTGATATATTTATAAATATTTTATATCGAACAAAATAATTGGCGCAGGAAGAGCGAAAATTGATATAATTCATAGGTGTACT